CCTTGAAGGAAGAAAGGATTTCAACAAGCAAATATGAGACAGGAGCATGCTTTAAGGTGAAGAAGGCAAGGAGAGCTGAGGGAAGAGAAAGGAGTGCAGTCTAGCTGTATTGTAGAATACCGAAAGGGAGATGATGACATACAAGCCTGGAAAGGTAGACTGGAGCCAGACTGGGGGGATTTTATCATATCCTCTGGGCAATAAAGAACCACTTAAAGTCTTTGAACACCCACAATTGCATGAAAAAAAAATGAATCTGGCAACTGTTTGAACAATGGCCTGGAGAGGGGAGACTAGAACCAGGAGACCACCAAACTTTAAAGAGATGTCTATGCTCTCTGCCTTTGTTTCCTTTTCTAAACTCTTCCTTGTTTTTGTGCTCTCAACTTTAATCAAGATCTTCTAGACATTCCCACCTGAATGTCTAAAAACTTAACATGCTCAAAACCAAGTTTGTTTTCCTCTTCAAATGACCTTTGGTCTTCCTTCTCACTGTTATTGGCTTCCCTTTGCCTACCACTTACCAATGCTTGGAAACCAAAAACTAGGAAGTCAACTTTGTTCCCTCAAATCAAGAACAAACATTAAGCACCTTATTCAACTGAATGAGATATGAACAACATTGGATCTGGATAAGACACTATCATCCTTACATCCACTGACCCAAGTTCAACCAGCACAACAATGTCGTCGCCTTTTTGTTCCCAGTAACCTAATTCAGGTCCCCATTACGTGTCAACTTAAACGGCTCCTAATAAGTCCTCCAGTCTCTTTGATTACAAGCCATTCCCAACCATACGGTTCTGATTAGGTTACCCTCTCCCCAAACTTCCGATAGCTCTCCATTAACTACAGAATAAAGTTCGTTTCCCCCCCCCGGTATTCAAGGGTATCCTCTTCAGCCTTATATTCCACTATTCTCCTTTCAAGCTCTCTAAATTCTGCTAAATTTGGTGACTTATTCATTGGTTTCCTTGCTTTTGCTCATGCTGTTTCCTTTAACTGTAATGCTTGCCTTCTCCACCTGTCAAAATCTTGCCAAGTATCTTTCAATTTAAAGGTCAAACTTTAACACCTCCCCCTTGATAATACCTCATATTGGGTCTGTTGAGAGTTTATCAACTGCACATATATGGACAGAGCCAGGAACTGGATCAGTGATCCCACTTGTATATACGGAAGGCACTATCTTTTCTGGGTAAGAAACTAACTAAAGGGAATGTACGTAGGCATGTAAGTAAGTAGGTTAGTTATGCTCCCCTTTGAGGAAGACAACACTCACTGGGAACAAATATTACTCTCCTTTTTATAGATTAAGAAAGAGAGTTTTAGAGAAGGAAGTAACGAGCTTAAGGCAAGTGGCCTGCAGAGCTGGAACAAGAATGGAGGTCATCCGATTGTCAGGCCAATGCCCTTCTTAGTTGGTCTCATCCATGAAGCTGTCCCTGAGCCTTCCCACCCATCAGTCAGTGATTCCATAGCACTTTGCGCGCGCGCACACACACACACACACACACACACACACACACACACACACACACACACACACACACACACACACTGTCTTACAAAATCTCTTGTGTTTTCCCTAACAGACCTGTTAGTTAAGAAATGCTTTAACTTTTTATCTGTCTTACTGCTGACATTTACATAGCTGCTTGAAGGTTTGCAAAACACTTTACAAACTTTTGTTTGTTCCCTACAACAACCCTCTGAACATATAGTACCTTCATTTTACAGATGAGAAACTGAGGCACAGAGAGGTTATGACTTCCCTATGGTCACCCTGGCGGTAAGTGTTTGAAGAAGGATTCAAAACCTGGTCACATATGACTCCAAGTCCTCTATATCATTCTGACCCTTAACAGAGAATGAGCCTGTCCCAAGGGCCTCCACTTACTTCCTTCTAAATCTTCTTTCTCTGCCTTCTGCAGGCCTCCCCGCTCTGGAAAATACACCCAAGTGCCCAGTTTACTACTTATTATTCCTATGCCAACAAGTACCCACCCCAGGTTAGAGTTGACAGAGCCTCTCAATTTTTAAAAAAAATTTACAAGGAATTCATTTTTTAAAAACAAACACTTACTGCATACCGGGCAGTTGGCATCTTATGGAGGCAAAGGGACATAGAAGATCCTGATAGCTGGCCTTGAAGCCAGGGTGACCCAAAATGAAGTCCCACATCTTACCCATACCAAGTGAACCCTGGGCAAGTTCCTCAAATTCTCAGTGCTTTAGATTGGAGGGGCCCAACTGGAAAGTAGTAGGCTACCCCAATCAGAAGAAATCTAACTGGGAAATGTTTAACAAAATAAATATACAACATAACATAATGTTAATTTGTGGTTTTCTAAGTCAAGATGTGGCTAAAGGGATCTGTTCTATTTGATTTTGATGCCAATGCTCCAGACAAGTCTCTACCATACACTGCAATGAAAGCGCTCAACTACATTGGCAGAAGTTCCCTTTATAGTACTGAAATCACAGATCCATCTCCTATTCCTATCTTTCTGTGCCAGGCACCGTTGGTGAAACAAAGGGAAATTAGACCAAGTTCTAGCCCACTGGGACTTGAAATTAAAGGAGGGCAGCATCACAAACATTCTGCTGTCACCTAAAATATTCAACAGAAAGAGTTCATGATCTTGAGTCAGTATGATCTAACAAAAAATAGGAACAGATTGGGAGTCAAAGACCTCATGTTCCCTGCCCATCTTAGCTCCTGAGAGCTGGGTGACCTTGAATTCAGGTCCTTCAGCTCTCGACCCTATATTCTTGTACTAGGCCACAAACCCTGCCACTACTCCCACAGGTTCAGTTCTTTCACTGTTTTTCTATTTAGGATCCCATTAACATTAACTAGTATTGATGTTAAATAATATTCTATATTAACAACTGCACTTTAAAGTTAGAAAACCACTTTACATTGTTTCATTTGACTCTCACAACAAACCTGTCAGATTGTAGCTATTATTACTCTCACATGGGAAGTGACTTTCCTGGAACTTACAACCAGTAGCTGAGGCAGGACTGGAATCCAAGTCTAGCACTCAATCAATGACTTTTCCATGCCTAAGACTGTAAACTATTTGAGGACAGAGGCTGTATATCTCAGTATGCTGAAGAACTCCGTGCAACCCAAAACAATAGCAGGCATTCAACAGAAAAATAGTTGCCACTTAATTAGTGCCTCTAGGTAGGTTAAGTGCTTTACATATACAATCTCCTATGACCCTAAAGTGCTGGTTATTCTTTTTTAAACGTGAGGAAACTAAAAATGGTGAAATAACCTGCCCAGAGTCACACAGTGTAAGTGTCTTAAGAAGGATTCTAATCCATGTGTTCTTGTGACTCTTGAGTTGAGCACACTATAAATATTTGTTGAATGAATTTACTCTAATCTCCAGCTCCAAAAAGACAGTAGGGCCTTATGAATAGAAAGTTGGCCTCCAGTCAGGAAGATCTAAGCTCAAATGCCACCTCGTAGGCATACTGGGTACGTGACCCCGGACAAGTCACTTAATCTCTTCATGACCCAGAAGCACCAGACTCTTAAGTCCCAGATCAGGTATCCAACTGCAGGACTAGAAGAAATTCCCTTCACCCATGAAATCAAAGGTCTGGACAAAATCTGCAGCGCCAGGAGGAGCCGACATCCTAACTAAAGCCATGACTGCCCAAACAGCCTTCTTATGCTCCTCCCCGAGTCTGGGTCTTCCCGAAAGCCTAGCTTGCCAGCAGCCGCTTAGGGGTGCTGATATCAGTCCTCCTTCCTTCCCCATTAGCCCTGCTGGGGAGCAGGGGCAGACCGTGGTGGACCACAGTCATGGGGGGCGGGGTCCTCTACTTCCCTCTGCTCCCCAGGACCTCCCGGCTTCCTCCAAGTCTCAGCTAAAATCCCGCCTTCTACAAAAAGCCCTGCCTGATCTTCACGCCTCCCCTCGGGACCCCCCACACCCACTCGTGGATCTCGTCTCTCTCTTGTGCGTAAAGAGTTAGATACGACTGTCAGCTCTTTGAAGGCAGGGCCTCTTTCCTTCCTTCTTCCTGACACAGCAGGCGCCTAATGAATGCTTGCTGACAAGCTAGGCCCGGACCTTTCCACATGCCACCGGCTGTCACCCGGGGTCAAGGATTTCGGGGAGGCTACGTGTACCTGCGGCTAGCCCAGCCCCGCGGGGCGGGGAGGGCAGGGGGAGGGTTCCGGAGCCCCGGCCCCGCTCCCCTCTCCTCCCCAGCCTCCCTCCGCCTAGCTCCAGCTCTCTGAGCTTCCACGAGCCTCACTGCCGAGTGCCACGCCACACGGGGCGGGGGCGGCCCCCGAGCCCCGGAGGCCCCGACCACGCGGGCGGGCGGCCCAAGCCCCAGAAGGCCCTCGGCCGGAGCTCCGGCGGACGCGAGCCCGCGGCCCTGAGTCTCCCCGGCCCCCAGGACCCACCTGCCAGCAGCGGGGAGGACGGCGCCATCTTGTGCCGGAAAGAGATCTCCGTCCGTCCGGCGGGCCGGGTCAGAGTTCACGAGGCCGAGGCCGGCCCCTGCGGGACCTACACGTCCTCGCTGCCGCGGAGGCGACGACGTGGTTCTTCCGGCGCGACGGGGCGGGCGGAGGGCGGGGCGTCCCCTGATAGGCCGGGGGTGGAGCGCGGGGAGGCCCCGCCGCCGGAGGCTTCGCGGCCGCCTGCGCACTTCCGCGGGGCGGGGCCTCCCTAGTGCTGACGTTGGCAGCCGGACGCCGCGGAGCAGCGCGGAGCCTCCCCTACAAATTGGGCCCGTTCCTCCCGGCTTCCCCCCTCTCCTCCGCAGCCTCGGGTGCGGCCGGGCGACGCTCGGCCTTCAAGGCGCGGCCCCCGCTGACAGCGCGCGCGCGGACTCCCCTCCGTGCCCCGGCGCGGCTCTCGCGGTGACAGCCGGAGCGGAGCGCCCCCGCCCCCGTCAGCGCGCACGCGCACGCGCCGGGCTCGCCAGCGGCCGGCCGGAGCTCGCGCCCGAGCCCCGGTCCGTTGAGCGCGGCCCAGCGCGGCGGCGGCGGCGGTAGCGGCAGCGGCAGCGGACTCGGCGGACTCCGGCCGCGGGCGGGCGCAGCTAGCCAAGATGGTCGCCAAGCAGCGGATCCGTATGGCCAACGAGAAGCACAGCAAGAACATCACCCAGCGCGGCAACGTCGCCAAGACGTCGGTGAGGCGGCCGGCCCGGGCGGGGGGCGGCGGGCGGCGGGCGGGGAGGGCCCGGGCGCGGGGCCGGGGCTCCACTAACGCCGGGCTTTCTCCCCTTGCAGAGGAACGCCCCCGAGGAGAAGGCGTCCGTGGGGCCCTGGTTGTTGGCGCTCTTCATTTTTGTGGTCTGTGGCTCGGGTAAGTGTCGCCCACTCGTGTCCGCGGCCGGGCGGGGAGGGACCTGGTGTCGTGACAGGGGCCGGGGTCAGCGGAAGGGCGGCGGGGGGCCCTGAGTCACCTCCTTCCGACATCCCCACTCGCTAAGCCGCCCTTAGTTCCGTAGGGTGGGGTGGGGGGACAGGGCTGGCGCGCCCCCCCCCCCGCCTGTCATGATGACCAGTCGCGATCTGTCGAGAGCTTTGCGGACCTTAGAGCGCCGGCAGCTCTCCGCTCTGTCTGCCCCTCTGCCGGGTCTCATGGGCTTTCTGGGGGGTCCTGCCTCTTCGAGTGGGGGCTTCGGGTGCCTTCTTGACGTGTGTGAATCCCCAAAATGTCAACGGGGCCGAGCCGCTGTCACTGCTTGTCGGGGTAGCAGCGTTTCCTTGGGAATGGGCAGCGGCCAAGCCCTTTTATGTAACCCAAAGATTAGAAAAGATTCCGAGTCGGGTTTTCGATCCATAGGTGCGAGTTCACGGCCAAGCTTGAAGATGTGTAGTCTTACAGGACGAGCTAGCGTAATTCTAAACTGCAAATCCCTGTATTCTTTTGGATCTCCTTGTTTCTTTAAAATGGAATTTTGAAATTGGAGGATTTAGACCTGGAAAGGGCTTTGAGCAATTCTAGACCTTGTTCCCCCCCATTCCTCCCCCACACACCCCATTTTACAGGTAAAGCAACTCAGAGAAAAATGGAGAGATTTGGCCGGTCAGGTTTGGGCACCTGGTCCTGGGTGTTCTTTGGAAGAAATTAGACTGCCTCAAATGAACATAAATTGTTTTTAACGTTTGTTTTAAAGCATTATTTTAATATTTGCCTCTTCTCCTTACAGCAATTTTCCAGATTATTCAGAGTATCAGGATGGGCATGTGAAGTGACTGACCTTAAGATGTTTTCATTCTCCTGTGAATTATAACTTGAACTCATTCCTGATGTTTGATACCCTGGTTTAAAAACAGTTCAGTAAAGCATCCTGCCTCAGAATGACTATTCATGTCATCCTTCATTTGTCATTCCAAGGTTTCTTCACAAGTCATTCCAAGTTTTCTAGTTCATACCACAGTGCCTTGAGAAGCACCACATGTATAAAGCAATAAAATTGATTGTTGATCTACAGTCGTGGACCCGACTTATTCAGTCAAGTATAAATTCTCGTTTTATGTGATTCTGAAAACTGTATGCAGTATAGATACCTAGACTAAATCTGTATAGACTAAGGTCTTTGATTTTTGTTTGCCCTTTAATGTATAAATGCAAGTTAGTCTTAATTTAAAATTTGGAAACTGATTTTTATATAGCAGCTAGGCACTTTATTGCTGTCTTGTGAATTGAAAGCACATTCATTAGGTAAACTTAGCAGTGCTGTATTATGGTGCTTATAAATGGAACACCTAGATGTAGTTAGCCCAGTTTTCCCCTGCAGCCTTTGGCACCTGAAAATGAAAAGGCTTTCACGATGCTACTATAGAGGGAGATTCTTAGATCCAGAACATCTATTTTAATAAGATTATTACTTTGACACTACCTTGGATTTCACATGGTTAAATAAAGTAACCCAAGAGGCCATAAAAAAAACAACCTGATGAAACATTCTGTCACCTCCTTAGTTACTGCAGTTTCTTTGAGGTGATGATATGGTAGAACCTGTCAACCAATGGCTTATAAGCATGCTGTAAATGTCACCCAAGTTGTTCACGTCAAGTATTAAGGCTATTCACCGCAGGTTAAGATTTGCAAGTTAGCCCATACTAGTTAAGCAGTTACTATGGCATGGCTTGGAAAATATGTATTATGAAAATTCTACTGCTCATTTATCAGGTCGTGACATGCTGTTGAGTCCAGCTGTGCCTTAGACCTCATAGCATGTTGATAGCACTTTCAATACCAAAAAAAGAAAAAAGGCACACCAACTAAATTAAGATCGACTTTAAGTCTACTTTTTTTAGACTTAAGATTAGAATTCCCCCATGAAAATACACGTATGTAAAGTTGTATTGACATCTTGTTACAAAATACATTGGGCTTGATCTTTAGGATTCACCTGGATGTTGGACCTGGATGTTAGAGGTATGATACTTGACATTAGATTGCTATCTGTTAACCTTTCCTGTTATATTGAGGATGGGAGACGGAGCTAAATTTTGAGTTTAAGAAACTTGGAAAAGACCCCAGCACTAATGGCATCCTCTCATTGACTGTAGTTATAGGCAACCAGTGGACGAAGCTTGGGTTGTGTATTAATACAAATGGTATACGTGGTAAATAAGGAAGTGGCTTTTCCTGCTTCCTAGCCCCTCACTTTGATAACATCTGGACCAGACTATAATGAAGAACAACTCACAGGATTCTCTTAACTAACTTCTAGTCTGTTTAGCCAGAGGCAGGTAAGGTGGAAATGACATTGGTAGTGAAGGTTTAACAGAGGTAAGTAAATTACTCCTGCATGTTTAAAAGAGTAGGAAAACTGCTGGTACTGGCATTTAGCTGAGGTAGGTAGGGTTCTATCTCCTTCATTAGTTGTATTTTTGCTACTTCACTTAGCATAACCAGGTCCCTGTCTGCCATTTGAAGATAAATGCATTGGTTAACAGATTCTACTATACTATAGAAATGTAAATTTTTGCTCTAAATTTGAAGCAGGTGCCTTAATTTTGTTTTGAGTCAAACCATTCCATTGCAAATTTTTCCTTGCTTTAGTACAGTTGGCTTCAAATAAGTATTTTCTGTTTACAGTGTCTTATTGACTAAATTGACTGTTAAATTGGTGTACAAATTAAGTCATTTCACATCTGTAAAAAACTCCATTCCCTTTGTATTTACATGTGTAATTTATCCACTTGATGCATTTTATATTAAGCAATTTATGCATGTTTGGTTAAATGAAAATCTTGTGCTTTTTGATTGGCTTGCCCCCATTAAAAATAAAAATGCCCTCAACATTTGATGCTTTTGTTAAAGGAAATAACACAACCTTGTTTAAATGTCTAGTTATTAGATGATAAAATGCTTTGTATTATGCTGTTTAGGTTAAAAGATACGTTAACTGCTGAGACTTTGCAGTCTTTGAAATAGATGTAAGGAATAAGTTGGAAAGTGCATAGTGATACATGTACAGTATTGCTTTTAAAATTGTTTAAATGCTTTTCCCATGTAGGACGTGTTCCTCTTTCACTGTTTTGTCTTCCTCTATGGAAAACATACCTTCCCTCCTGTTCTCCATTCTTCTCTCCCACTGAATTCTGTATTCTATCTAAAAATGTCAGTCAACAATACAGAATTAAATAGTTTATGAGATTATTGACATCTCATTTTCTAATTTTTAGTTGTAATAAATTCAAGGGGATAACCACGTTATTTCATTGTATGCACTTGGTTGTATATAATACACCTCAAAATAAAGTGGTTGTTGAGTAGGTTTGGAAATATTTCTTACTGTCTGAATTCACTGTAATGGAATTTGTTGTAACAGGCTTTGACCTGTATTAAAGGAACTTGATGTACTTGATTTTTGTGAGGGCCATGAGATCTTTAAACAGAAGCTTAAGGGACTTTTGTTATAATACAGGTTTCGTCCAGCTCTTGCACTCACTGGGCCTAACAAAAGGGCTTTTTGAGCAAATGTTTATGTGTGAGTCCTTTAAATTCCATATGAAGATGTGGTTGGCTTTTAGCAATAGCCCTTCAGGAGCATACTGCTTGGGAGATTCTGTTTGAATAATCTGTTGTACCAGTCAGCAACAGATAATTGCTAGATGCAGTATTACCAACGAAGATAAAATGGATCCAGTCCTTGAATGAAAGAAAATGAATTCAAGGTTCCGATTTATAAAATGATCGAGTGTATGTGAACACTACAAGGTAGGAAGTTTGGTTTTTTCTCTGTCACTTATTAACCGTGATCATGGGCAGGTAGAGGATTGCAGCCAAAGAAAAGAAATTCTTATCATTAGGAGGCTAAAGCAATCTGGAGTGTTTATGGATTGGCTAACTTTTAAAAAATGTTATCTGTAATTTCTGTCAGAGGGATGAAGTGGAGCCTTTTAGTGATTGAAATACAGGTGCCAAAGTAGCACTTCTAGGCTTAATCAACCAAATAAACAGGAACTGTGCAAGACTTTAGGCAAATAAGAATTTTCAGTAAAAATCTGAACATACATAACACTGTATTTTGCTCTTGCTACATTTTGATCAGCTGTCATTGATTAAAGAAACCCACTTTAGAACACTGGATTTTTCTTAACAGCTTGGGGTACAACTTCCTAGAACAAGGAGAATAGTATCTAATTTACTTGAGGCTTAAAAAAAATTTAGACTCAGAAAATTTCACTTCATATCTCCTGTATGCTCAGAACTGCTAGGCACTGGAAATATAAAGACAAAAATGATATGGTCCCTTGTCCTAAAGGAGCTAAGATTCTTCTGGAGGGGACTTCTAAACATATACAAAATAGTACAAAGTAAACTTGAAGAAGGTTGGCACTAGCAGCCAGGGGAATCAGACATCATGTTAGGCAGTGGGATTTTTTAAAAGGTTAAAGACAAGCAGGAGAGTGCATTTCAGGCATGAGGGGACAACTGTGTAAAGACGGAACAAAATGGAATACTAGATATGGGATGGTTTGGCTGGACCAAAGAATTCTTGATGTGGGGAATGTATGAATAAGGCTGGAAGGAAGGTTGGGAGCCTGGTTGTAAGCAACGAAAACGAATTTATATTTGATGCTGGAGTTTGAATCCTTTATTGAGCAGGAGAATAACCTGAAATAGACCTGAGCTATAGGGATATTAGTTTGGCAACTGTGTTGGATGGATTAGAGAAGGGAAAAATGAGATAGGGAGACCATTTAGGAGGTATTTGCAAAATCCTGGCAAGAAGTGATAAGGGAATGGATGTGAGATATTTCAATAGTAGGATCAAATTTATGTCTCCAGATGAAGTCCCTCTCAACGCCATTTCCACATCACCAACTGCATGTTGGACATTTTGAATTGGATTTCCCACAGGTATCTCAACTACGACATTTCCAAAATCATTCATTACTTTTTCTCTAAAACCTTCCCATCTTTCCCATGCCCTGATCTCTAAGGGCGCAGCACTTTTCAGACATCTAAGCTCAAAGTGTCAACATCACCAACTCAATGTGATCTCTCAACATGCATCCAACCCATTGCTAAATCTTGTTTCTACCCTCACACTTCTCCCATAGGTCTCCTGCTCTCCAATCATACCACAACCACCCCACTTCAGATCCTTTTTGCTGGATGATTTCACTATCCTACTCAATCTCCTTCAGTGTCTTGCACTCCAACACATCCCCTGCAATGAAAAATTATTTTACTCAATAAACTCCTAGTGACACTTCATGATAAGCGTCTACTCCCTTGTTTGCCATTTAAAGCTCTCCAAAACCAGTCTCCTTCCTACCTTCCAAACCTTCTTATACTCCCATCTCTGCATGTATTCTTCCATCTGATCATACTGACCTATGTGCTAATACTTCATGCACAAGAGTGTGCTGGTAAATGTTTAACAACTGGCTCTCCAGAAGAAAGGAGGATACATTTTTAAGTTTTATTTGTATTATTAACATTTTCTCCATCACTTTTTCTAGCTTTTTTTTTTTTGGTGAGGCAATCAGGGTTAAATGACTTGCCCAGGGTCACACAACTAGTAAGTGTCAAGTGTCTGAGGCTGGATTTAAACTCAGGTCCTCTTGATTCCAAGGCTGGAGTTCTATCCACTGCCCCATCTAGTTGCCCCCATCACTTTTTCTTTAGACCAGACAGTCAACAAAATAATAAATCAAGCCCTGATTTGTCGTGTTTGCTGATTTGTGAAGTGTGAACGCTCACACTGAAAATTTAACAGCTGGCTCTGGGAGGCATGTTGGAGCTGGCCCGAGAACAGACATCCGTCCATCATAACCCTCCCATCTCCATACCTTTGTACTAGTCCATCCCCATGTTTGGAGTGGGTAACTACGCTCCCTTCACCTCTTAGAATAGTTGGCTTTTGGGGCTTCTAGGTGGCACAGCGGATAGAGCACCAGCCCTGAAGTCAGGAAGACCTGAGTTCAAATCCAGCCTCAGACCAGACACTTGACACTAGCTGTGTGACCCTGGGCAAGTCACTTAACCCCAATTGCCTAAAAGCAAAAAAAAAAAAAAAAGAGCATAACAATGGTCAGACTACCTGAAAGCTATGATCAAAAAGAGAATCTTGGGGCAGCTGGTTGGCACAGTGGATAGAGCACTGGCCCTGAAGTCAGGAGGACCTGAGTTCAAATCCATCCTGTAAGATGTATGTAATCACCCAAAGGAGATTGGCCTGACCTTTGTGGGGAGGAGAGCAGAGGGAAAATAGAATGAGCATTTATTAAGCACCTACTCTATGCCAGGAATTGGGCTAAGCAATTTACAAATATCTGATTTGACCTTCACAACAATCCTGGGAAGTAAGCACTATTGTTATCCTCATTTTACAGTTGAGTAAACAGGCAGATAGCAATTAAAAGACTTGCTAGGAAGTACCTAAGGCTGGATTTGAACCCAGGTCCCTGACTCCACACTCAGTGTTCTATCCACTGTACCACCTAACTCACCGTATGCACACAGGAGAGACAGTGGGTGAAAAAATCCAGTGCCCAGTTATAACATACATGTCAGTGGACAACCTATAGAACTTTGTCCACCACTATATATTTATTTAGACAGGTAGTACTTACTGATGGACAACTAGTTAGACCCAGAGTTAAACTGGGGAGAATGGGCAAACAAGTGTCTTTAATAACCCTCAAACTTCCCGTGAAGGTAAAGTCCTGTCTTTTTATTACTGACATCCCACTGATGTTTGTCTGGGCCATGCCATGGGACACAGTCATCTCTGAAAACCTGAAAATGACTATCACCCCAAGGTATGATAGAGGAGCACATGGTGAGTGTGAGCAGGCTGCAACATATAATGAGGAACTCTGAGAAAGAACTGGAGTAAATATGTCATCACTGAATGATAAGTGGCTGAGGGTTGGAAGGTGGACAGCCAGAGTGCTCTGCTGGTACCTCCTCACCCTCTGAATGTCGAGAGAAATTGAGCAAAGACCCTATGTTGATCTTATGGGAGGATATGGAAAAGAGTCAGGTGGGGTGGACCAGTTTGCCATCTACTTTGTTGGAAGCAATTTCCCAACTAAAGACATCTCAGAACCATTTCAGTATTTACTTGTATTACAGGAAGAAAATGGGAGGAAAGAAGTAGATGTCTTAAATTTTTTTTTCAAGTGCTAAAGTGACTGGTAATGATTAAAATCCATTTTAATGTAGTGCCAGTATTAACGTTAGGAAAAAGGCAGTAAATGCAAGGAAAATTCACAGACACCTAAATGGTTGCTATTCCAAACATAGGACTGATCTTAAAACATTCAAATAACATGCTTTTTTTAAAAAAATCATTGGATACTAGCTTTTTCAAGTAGGCTCTACAAATAAATATAGATGACAAATTTTATAAATAAAATTGATTAGGATGTTAAAGTCGTTAAATGTTCCCTCTGGTCATATGATTTTCCTATTTTCTCACTGTTATGGAGAAAGTGCTTTTGCTTCATAAATAAGTTTGATGAGAGAACTAGAATTATAGAATGGAAGGGACCTTAGAAATCATGTGTTTAACCTTTTATTTTACAGATGAGGCAACTAGAGAGATTAAGTGTCACACCATCTCCAGTCTCTGTCTTTGCACTGGCTGTCCCCTATGCCAGGAATGCCCTCCCTTCTCACCTTTGCTGTTTAGAATCCTTGACTTCCTTTAAGGCTCAGCTCAAAGGTCACCTTCAGTTGAGGTCTTTCCTTGCTAGTCTCGCCTCCCTCCACAAACTACTAGAGTGTTTTCCTTAGATTACTTCAATCTTGTATGTACCCTGTTATTGACATAATTCTTAGAATGTAAACTCCCAAATGTCAGGGACTGTTTCTTTACTTTCTTAGTGTTCTCTATGCTTAGCACAATTCTTGGCATTTACTAAGTGCTTAATATTTTTTAACTGACAAATAAATGCTCGTTGACACCATGTCATATAGGTAATGAGTGGCAGAGTCATGACTTGACCCAAGATCTTCAGAGTCCCAAAGAAGTACAAATTTTATATATGCATATACATATATATGTATGTGTATATATACATATATATATATATGTTATTTGTTTATCTTTATCTTGAAATTGATAACTTTAATTTTGGGGGGTGGGGGAGAGAAGGGAACAGGACCTAAGATTTCATTGACATAGAAGAAATTCCTCTATCAATGCAGAACAGCACCTTGCGCTGTAATTTATATTCTTGGAGAGTTGCCTGAGGGGCACAGGTTAAATGACCCTTCCACAGCTCACACAGCAGTAATATCTTGAATTTTTAAAATCTCTTTTC